GGGAGCATGTGGGGGTGAATGCGCCCGGCACGGCGAATAGAATGGCTTCTTCCAGCAGTAAGTGCGGAGACGGTCGTGGTCTGGAGTTCCCCGGACGAGTCGAAGTGAGAGAGAATGGCATCGGGGAGCTTGTCGCCGACGGAGATGACGGCAAAGACACCAAAAGATTTAGTTGAGAAAGAGAGGGGCTTAGATTGTTTAGGGTGGTGGTGGAGCCTGAGAGGGAGAGGAGAGAGCGAGAATCTGGAGGAGAGAGATTTAGAGGGGGCGAGGAAGGAAGCGGTTGCGGAGGAGGAGAAAGAGAGTGAGGCGGATGGAGAAGAGAGGAGTCGCGAGATGGAAAGAGAAGCTGCCATTGTTATCTGTTATTCTAATATCACAGTAATGAAAAGCGCAGAGAAAATGGAGAAGGAATATTTTTGGGTGGTTAAGGAAAGAGATTGAATAGGTGCCAAATCTGGGCGGAGCAGACAATGAACGGAACGAAGAAGACACGTCACAAAGGGGGGAAAACGCCGTTCTTTAGTTTTGGAAGCTTTTGTTGGGCTTTCTGGGAGAAATATCTGCCGCATTGTTGGGCCCAAAGCAAAACATTTGATGGTGGACGAGGTACGTGGCGTAATCACTAAACGACACGTGTAATGCAAGACAACGACACTATCAACCACGTAACTGGGCTTTTTAGGTGAAGTGAGTAAAGCGGACTTTATTATTTTCATCGGCAAGAAGACTGTGTGTCACGTACCAAGATGCCAATCGAATATTCCATTTTCTTGTTTTTTTTTTTTTAATTTAATAAATTAATTTATTGGTATTTATAATATAAAAAGATTAAAAATAAAAATAAAAAATATTTATTTTATCCTGAAAATTGGCACTTACAATATTTATTCTCATTTGTGTTATGTAATATTTTTTAATAAAATAAGGGATATGAGGGTCATGCCGGACTCGATCACATCGTCAGCTCACATGCGACTGTTTGTTGTTAAAGATTTCGGAAGCTGCAAATCTTG